ATGATACAACTCAGTCGATGGAGGATGATGGTGATGAGGAATACGAAGAGTAGTTTGATATTGTGATGGATCTTTGGGACACTGGCTTGAATCTATTTCATTATTGTTGTGACTTTGCTATTTTTGTGATTTGTAGCTTCGCCGAGCTTTGTATATTTGTTACGTTTGTTATGTGCTAGGATTTTTTTATTTGTGATATTTTGTGTTGAGAATCTTTTTTTATTGTGATAGCATTTTATGACCCGCACTAGTTGATTTCTGTGGTTTTAATTTTGTAATATGCTTGCTTGAAATTTTTTTTTTTTTTTTGTTCATCTCAATACTAACCTATTGTGACTATTGTGTAGTAGCATTTCCTATTATACTTGCATACAATCGAAAAGTGTTATTTCCTCGTGTGATATTAATAGTGTAAAATTTATAATTTTTTTTCCATGAGCAGAAATTTCTATTGTGACTTGTGTCAAATAACTAACAAGTTTTGTGGGGAAGTCCAAGCAATAATATTTCCTTTTAAGTAAAATAAAAATCTACCTTTCGAATTCACATAAATAGATGTGGTAGTCATAGTTAAAGATAACTTCAAACTAATAATTAAAAAAAAAACATATAGTAAAAGTGATGTATTTCTTGAAGTTTTGGAAAAGATTAATAATTATCTAATAATTGATCTTCAACAAATAGTAATTATTTATCTTTATAATTATTGCTAAATACTTGGTTGATTATTAAATATATATAAAATTGATAATTTAATAGTATAAAATTTAGTCACTACTTAATTAAAACAAATTGATTCTTAGTTATCATTTCCCGACCTATAAACTTATGACTTAATTTAGGAATAGTAATGAAAATCTAACTTGCGAAGAGGGTTGGGATTCAAAATCATTATAAGAGCTGAATCAAATATAATAATCCCAGCAAAAATAGAGAAAAAGGGAAATAGAAATGAAATAAATAAATAGAAAATTTTAGAAAAAGGGTCATAATAAAAAGAGAATTTTCAGAAAAGTTTGGAAAGAAGCTTTGAGATTTAAAGGACAAATAGTTTTTCAAACTTAAGCTAGAAATTTTCTACTCAGAAATGGTAACGAGCTTAAGATAGTATAATTGAATAGATAAATGGATTTTATGGTTGATATTAATTGTATGTTAGTTAAGCAAGTGATTTAGGATGATCGCACAAATTTGTATTACTATTTGATATATCAGGATATTAAGGGGATAATCTAAAAGTTCAACATAAAGAAAAATACATATTTGCTTTTGCTAATATATATTTTCTATATTATTAGAAAACACTGAATCTTTAGTCCCATAATTACATTTTACAATATTCTAATTTTGAATTTTAAAATTATTTGAGGGGCAAGTGATGTTTAAGTTTGAGGGAATTTGATGTATATTGAATATGTGATCATGTATGTCTTATTTTAAGTTGATTTTATGATAATTTTATGATTTTTAAAGATGTTTATGATGTATTTTATAGGATTCAGATCAGAAAAATTGTCAGAGCTGGAGAAATGAAGAATTTAGCAAAATAAAAGAGTAGCACCTAGGCACCGGGAGTTGAACACCTAGATGCCTCAGGAGCCAAAAATTGATCATGCATACAAATAAGATGGAAAATGGGAGCGGGGTTGGTGGCACATAAGCGCCAAGCCATTTTATTAGCTAGACATAGGCGTCCCACCCTTCAATTCCACGCAAATCTTTTCAAACCTGAATATATCAATCCAAATTTCAAAATAACAATCTCGCAAACACTTATCATGTAATCATGTCCGACATAACTCAATACTTTAATCGAAAGTATTCTCGAGATCGATAACTCTTAAAATGAAATTAACTATAATGGTTGCCCCTCATAGGGATATTAGATCCCAGAATAAAACAAATTCTCGTAATGTGGGGGAAAAATCTCTAATTTTGTAGACCCATAAATATTGAAGATTTTCACATCATTAGATACATTTTAAGATAATATTTCCACCCTCGAGATAGTATATTATTCTTTGAATGACATGTATGATCATTTAAAAAGAAAAACTTTCAAGATGTATAGTGGATATCTAACCCATCCGCCAATAATATCTTGACCATCAATAATATGAACAATTAAGATAGCTTTGGAATGTGTGTTCTATAGTATGTAACACTTAAACAAGTGATACGGATGATCCTCAACCTCGAGCAACCAATCATAAAAGTTTGCCATGCTACTCGCACTTACAAGTTAAAACAATATGATTATAAGGGTTGGAATGACTACTTTTGTGTGGAGATCATAGAAAATGATTCACTATACTATAAACTGTCAACAATAATACCAATTTCACCTCAAGTTATATTCCTGGTGGTGCAAGACTGCCTGACAGCTAAAATTTGAAGAAAACCAAAGTAAATGCCAACAATGTCAAATTCAACGGATGCAAAAGTATGTCATGCATGTGCCTAGACTAAGGGTAATTTTGACTTGTATTAGCCTATGGAAATTTAGTCTTTTATTATTTCTTACTGTTTAGTATAACTAAAGCTAATATGCTAAAGATTGAGATTATGCATGAGATTGGGTCTTGTATCTTACGGTTAGGGTTTTGGAGATATTTCCTATCTCTCAAATTATAATATTTGGAAGACATAGCTTACCTCTCGAATTATATTTTTTGGGAAAGATGGCCTACCTCTTGAATTTCATGTGTTTATAATGTATATGATGTGTTGTTTGTATTATTGAAGAAAGCGATTTGTTTTGCTCTACTTTCTGTGTGGAAACATTATCTCAGATCATATCAAATGGTATCAGAGCTCTCGATTCCTAAAAAATCGACGACGGGTTCATAGACTCTAGCCACGGGAACAAGAAGATAGCGACTACCTGTAGTCGCAGAACAGTCGAGCCAAGATTGCAATAGGAAGCAACACGAAGCAACATTCATTATTTTATCTGGGAAGAAACTATGCAAATGCATCATGCAGAAGGATCGGGATCGCAACAAGGGGAATGATCATGGAGTACAGGAGACACTTTCGCTACCTCAACTCAAAAACAGTCAAGACCGAAGCTTGTTAAGAAGCATTGTAGCATATGGAGACCCAAAACTCACATCCTTTGGCTCCATTTGAGCAATGCAGTCGCGATTAAAGCTAACTAGGAGAATACATGGTCAGCATCGCAGCTCGCGACGGACCTAATCGAGTTATGAAGCACGATTCGGATTGCCCTAGCTGTGATCCGAGTGACTGCCCCATGTGATCTAAAAGCAAGGAAGGGATTGTTCATTAAATACTTCATGGTACAGTGGTGATTCAAGCTACCCGCAATGCCAACAATAGGATTTCAACGCAAAGGAGTTACTTGAAACATACAGGGAGTATTGCCGGCCAAAAAATTGGATTTTTTAGAAGAAAAATTAATGGAAGAGATAAGCCACATCAAATCTGAAATAGACAAAATTTTGCATGTACATGGGGGGCGGTTGGAGAGGAGATTGACAGTCCTAGAAGAAATAATGAAAAACATCATGAAGTTTCACAAAAAACAACCTCAGGTCATCGTGGGAACGAGGGACGTTGCTGGGAACGGACACCAGCAGTAACAACTAAAAGGATTCACATGACATTAGGGTAGCATTGTTGCCTTAGGCGAATAGAGTTGCGATATCAAGCGAAGAAATTAGGAGCAGACTCAAGTGGAAACACTTTGAAGAAATAGCGTAACATTCGAACAATTTGAACAAACGGAAGAAAGCAGGATCGAAGTTGACAGGGATGGAAGAGACACATGAAACGGAGTTGACAGAGATTCATGATATGGATTTGACAAAGATTATGGTGATCGATAAGCTACATAATGAGCTGTTTTGGGCTGCAATATTCTCTAAGATTGACTAGAAGTCGGGACACTATCTGATTTGAATATTGTCGAATAATGTGCACAAGACTACATTTTGAATTCCCGAGTGTCACTACGAATTTATGATAAAATTGAAAGGATTATAGATGTCGACGAACCATGAGAACTATACGACTTGATCCAGCAACACTTTTTCCTACTTTGAGGACAAGATGTCTTTTTGGGAGAAGAGTACAATTATGTTGATGCCTAGCTTAAAGGTAATTTTGTCTTGTATTAGCCTAAGGGCAATTTAATCTTTTAATATTTATTATTGCTAATTATAAATAGGACTAATATGTTTAGATTTAGGACTATGCATGAGATAGTGGTTGAGTGTTGGGTTAGGGTTTGGGAGAGGTTTCCTACTTCTCAAATTGTAGAATTTGTGAGTGTCGTCTACCTCTCAAATTGTAAGTGGTTATCCTTTATGTGTGGTGTTGTTTGTGTTATTAAAGAAAGAAATTTGTTTTGCCCTAATTTCTGTGTGGAAATTTGTGTCGGATCGTATCAAACTACCATGGTTATTCATCTCAACCATCCAATTCAATTTAGGCAGCTGAGATTGAATACATCAAAACAGAATTCTTAAAAAATAATAATAATTTATGTATTTTAATTCCAGCAGCCTGAAGTGAACTGAATGTTTGGGAAAAACTAGTGGTGCCTCTCAAGTGATGCAGATGATTTTTACATAAATTCTGACAATCTATCTGCAAAACTAGGCTCTCTCGCTTGTGGAAGCAAAGTTGAAGTCTAGCACTTAACGAACTTATGAAAGAAAAGAGGGAGGAATGGGAGATAGCAGTGGGGCTTAAAAAGTAGCAGTCGCAATTACTTTAAGTTGCTATAAAAAAATACAAGTTTATGAGATTAACAAAAAAATATCAGCATACCTTATTTCTAACAAACAAAAAATAAAACCAAACAAACCACCGATTAACTAAAGAGAAGAATGAAGAGGTATCCTGATACAAATGTATCAATTTGGGCTCAAAAGTCATTAGATTTACTTTAAGATGGGCTCAAATAACTTTTTTTCTTAACCTTAAGGATTCATTTTCAGCTCAACTTAAATATTTTCAAGACAATCCCGTACCATATACAGAAGAAAACTCTTGTGGCACAGAAGATGAAAGTGGTGGTCTAGCTCGTTTACTTCGGATTGCTGGCTGAGATATGAGGGGAGGGGCTACAGCCATAGGCTCTAATTCCCACGGAGAAATACAATCAGGTCGTGGAATAGATGAAGGTTCATCCCATTGGATCTGCAAAATAAATGCAGTGAGTTTTTCAGAAGAAAATTAGTGGTAGTAAAATAAGCATTCCATCAAGACAGACAAGACACGGAAAACTGAACATGCTAATTTAAACAGATAAAATAATACAACAAAAGGCAACTAAACAGTCAGAAATCCAAACCCAAAAGCTCGATATTAGCAAAAACACAAGGCACTCAGTGGCGGATCATAGTTTGGAAAAACTTGACAAAAAAATTTGAAGCAGGAAAAGCAGATATGGATCACCTTTAAAGATCTCCAATTTGAATCTGGCCAACTAGAAGAAGTGTTTTCTATTATACCAATTATGGTACCACAGAACCTGTTACAGGGAAAAAAATTATATATATATATATATATATATATATATATATATATAATTGTTTTACATTCAGTGAGACCAAATGGTAAGGCATCTAATAGTAGTGCAGTTTACACTTTAATACCGTCTTTCAGGAGCTTCATCACCCTCAAATCTCATCTTAAATCTCATACCAACTGATAGATTTTGACTTCTCGCTTCAAGGTACTTGTTTACACTGATGATAAACTGTGAACAGCTTGCCCTGTAGCCACAGAAAACTAATAAGAAAAATGATACCCCGATTTTGAAAGATAAAACTTCTAGTTGATCCAAGAATGATAACAAGTTCCATTTGAAAGAAAAAAAAAAAAAGATTTTTAGATTTTTAAAGAATCATTATCAATGAAAGAAAAAAAAAAAAAGATTTTTAAAGAATCATTATCAAGTGCTTGGATATGAATGAAATAATGAAATTTTCATGCAGAAAACAACTATAAATCTATGAAATTTTTCGTATAGGTGAAAAGAAATAAATGACCAATACCCAACAACCTCTTTTCAGATATTCCCCAGTTAAATAAGAGTCAAAGAAACCAACCTTGGCTTGTAGAAGACAGAAAAAAGAGTTCGAGTAGACAAAGCATGCGATGCAGTTGCAAGAACTCCAAGATGCATGCTGTGACTAGATATAACAGATGATGGCATGTTATTTAGCTGCCTCATAAGCCGCCTTACACCAACACACAACTCACCACTCTCATTTCTGCCATAAATGAAAGACAGTCATTAATACAAACTTAACAAGAATCATTTCCATGAAAAGCCTAACCAGCCAATCCAATGACGAGAAGATTTTGAAGAAACAAAATACAAAATTATGACAGATTAGGGCAATTTAAAACACTTGCCTCATAAAGATAAATGCATCACCAGCAACCAATCTCTTTGAGCTAACAAAAACGCTCCATCCAGTAGTAAGCAGATGTCTCCTAGGTTGTCCTACAAGAATGAAAAAATAAATAATAAAATAATGATAGTTTAATTTTTCCCAATTTAGCAATTATACCATGAACTGTGCCAAGTTCGTGAGAGCTGAAGAATAAAAATACTCAAAGCATAGAACAAACAGACATAACCAAGTTAGTGGTAAAATTAAATATAGAATATCATGTTCTACATTAAAAATAAAATAAAATCTTGAAACCAAAGCCCACCAAGAGCAAAAGAGGGTAGTAAAAGTTTAAATTTCTATAGCCATTCTCCTAAAACCACACAAAATAATGCTTTTTTGCACTCATAATGAAAAATTAAGAAGTAAAGCATGATACTATGATGAAATGTGAAGGAAAACATAATCAACCTCGAAAAATGTGGCGAAAATGCCATTCATTGCCATGAAGATCTTTGGCAACCAACTCTTGCCATGGTGGATTCTGTGTCATATCCTTAACAAATAAAAAAGACAAACAGAATTAAACATTAACAGGAGATTGCAGTAAAATTTCAATAACTAAAAAGTTGCCATGATGGATCAAGATGATAATTGCTGATGCATTAAATTACCAGTGGAGGTAGGCATTCATCTGCATGCCTCCTAAGAACTGAGAATCCTCCATGAGTGCTTGTATCCGAAGCCGTAAGTGTTTTACAAAAGGAATGAACCATACTGCTATCAGGTTCTGGAAGGGGAGAGTCTGGACTGGTCACTTCACTTTGCTAGTCGATATAAAGAAACATCATTAAAACAACTGAAAATCAAAATAAACATAACAAATGGAATGGAGAAGAGGCATATAAAACAATCACAACATGAACAAATCACCCTAATGAAGCAGTCATTGAAATTCGTTACTTCTTTGAATAAAGAGAGAGAGACAAACGAATGAGGATTTCAAAGGTATATAGAAAGTTGGGAAAAATATGCACTGCACTTTTCCAAAGAAAAGATTTATCTGAAATCTTGCTGACCAATGATACATTCTAGTATAAATACTCACATCAGATTCTGGTTGCAAAGTAATCTGAGCATAAACCTCATCAGTATCAGACTCAGCCTATATCAAAAACAGAAAAAACGACTAAATAAATAAATAATAGTGAACCATACTAGTTAATTATTGAATCGATCCAAGTACTTTCAAAAGAACCTGAGGAAGGTTTTCACATTTCAAAGAGTACAAAGTGGAGCTTACTCGAAGTTCAACATTGACTACCCTGCAAAGGATCTTTGAAGGAAGATCAAATAATGGCATCTGCTGGTCAAGTCCTTGGTGGGTTGACGCCTGAAGCTACAGAAACCAAGGAAATGACTGCTAAACAATTTTGAAGGGAGAATGATTATATATATGAGATAACCAAATACCTGTTCCATATGGCCTTGAGGAAAGTAATAGACTCGTTCCTTTTGACGAGGCAGCGTAACCAGCGGCCCAGCACAAGCATGCCAGAGCTCCTTGTACAACAGATTCCCACGAAGTTTTGCTGAAAAGTGAACCCATTTTTACGATAGCATTCCTCAGCTTAAACAAAAGAAACAATTTATCATGCAATACCCATTAAAAAATGAAATTGTTGTGGTAAACCATCCAGTCAATTTAAATGGCACAGCGACAAGTAGAAAAGGGGTTGTCAAGATTAAAATCAAATTCATCAAAAGCCAGAAAATCAAATTCATCAAAATCCATCAGTGTTGGGAGAAAACAAGCAGTAAAAAGAAAGAAGCAGACAAATAAGGGAAATCTACAAAAAGTGCAGGAAGACATAAGAGAAAGCAAGGAAAATATATTATATCTAGTAAAGCAATGAAACACCAAATTCAAATACTATCACGGAAAAGAAGATAAAGTCAATGAAACAGATTAAACCAATAAAACTAACACAATTCAGGCGGACATGAAGACCAGGCGACACAGGAAGCATGAAGATTGAATAACAGAAAAAGAATGAAAATGAAACTGTAACAAAACCTAGTTTTCACTGTTACTGAAAGAATCAACAGAAATAAAGAACGAAGTGTTAGGAAAAGTTAAATTAATTCCTAAACCATCTTCACAGATGAACACGAGTAAAACGCGCATAAATTTTTTACACATACTATTTTAGATGACATGTGATCAAGCTGACCTCATGCAAAACATAGCGAGGATTTATTACAAAGAAAAAAAATGCAGAACTAAGGACAAAAAAAATGCAGAATTAAGGACAATGCAACCAAAAGTGAAAGACAAAAAATTTGACCTTCAATCACAAACCTGAACCAAGCACCTCGCTTGCGGAATGAGTTGGAGAAGCAAGAGCCATGACAGTTCCGTATAATCCCCTTCAGAATCTCGATCGCTGGTAGGGGGAATCCAGAGAAAAATGAACAGACAGAAAGCCAGCTCACTAAGTCTTGGACAAGAAGAACTTTATAATCTCGCAGTTCCTCGTCAAAGAAATCTAAATTAAGCCAAGGAAGTGAAATGAAGAGGCTAGCCCGTTAAAAACAGCAATAAATTTTTATAAACCGACATTAATTTCGCCGCGCTAATAGTGAGAAGACTCCAATATCATTCCCGACTTGGCCAACACAGACGCCAAAAGATGAATCAATCAATTATGAAAAGTCAGAAAAAAAAGGGGAAAAAAAACCTAGAAACGTCCGCCTCTTCGTTATGATGCTTTTAAAACTGAAGTGGCTCAATATTCAGCACAGACGAAGTGTTCCAAAAGTATGCCTCCGACGAACTCCGAATGGACTGCTTCCCCCATTCCGGATAACAGAAAAGCCTACCAATGCAAGGAATTCGCGAAAAGCGGAGATCAAACTTCAGAAATGCAGATCTAAGCAGAAAGAGCCGTGTATAACTCAGTAATTCGCCTAAAAAATTCACCAATCACTAACAACTCAGTGATTCAGCGATATCAACAGAAAAAACCTCTTAAAATAACACCCACCCACCAGAATTCAATCAATCGCCTCAAAGAGATACCTGAATCCCTTCATTCAAATCATGAAATTCACTATTATAGCGCGAAACAGCCATTTCACCCAGAATCTCAACAAACCGGCAGCTTAATCTCCAGCCATCAGGAATTATCAAAAGTTAAATTCCCATAATCAATTCAAGGAAACGATACAACCAAGGCACCCCACAACGAGATCGCCCCGATCTCCAAATTTCCACTCAGAGCCACGAACTTCCTGCCCGTATCCAGTAAATTCGCCAAACCTCACCTCCTCAACGCAAAACTCCAAATCAGAAGAGCCTAAACCCACCATTACCTAGCTCACAAAGTTCTTCCATGTCCAGAGATTCATCCAACCAAATCAATCCTAGATAAAGGCAAGAGAGTCACACGGATGATAGAACAGTATCGAGAGAGACAGGGAGGAAGAAAGAGAATGCGCGCACTCGAGTCGCTTCACGCTGCAACACTGCCACTTCTGCGTGACCGCCTGCTTCAATTTCCCGGCTTTCCACCACGGTCGAGATCTCGCGGTATTTTCTAGTCGGGTTTCTCTCCGCTACCGCTGCTCCCTACGCACAGCGGTACTCTTCGCCAAGTCACTCCTTGGACGCCATCGATCTGTCGCTTTGCTCCGGCTCGGCTTACCATCGCGCTGGTTCAGCTTTACGCTGCTGTCACAAAGCTCACTGGAACAAAGACCATCGACACGCGCCAATCTCAGCCGTGCACGACTCACACCATGCACCCAAATTGTCCGCGGACCGCCCAACACGGGATAATGGGGAGTCTTGCCTTGTAACGGATTTAGGCTCCCTTTGGGAGAGCGGCCGCGAACTACGGTTTTTTGAGAGCATGTTGGGAGGTGTCGGGTGGCATTTTTGGTTAAACACCGATCACAGAATGAGTCATGCGGCTAGGGCTGTCAAAATAGCTCGCTATTCGTGAACAGTTTGTGTTAGGCTCGTTAAGAAGCTCGTGTTCGACTCGTTAATTTTGTTTGATAAGTTAATGAGCCGAACACGAACTAAGATATGTTTGTTCGTGTTCGGCTCGTTTTGGCTCGAAGTACTAATCATCAAATATATATATATATATATATATATATAT